GTACACACACACACACACACACACACACACACACACACACACACATTTATTTATTTCTTTATTTATTTTTTCCGGAATTTTCAGAAAAGTCCACTTTCATCTCTGAATATATGTTGGACAAGGTATCCTGATAATCTTTTTTTTTTTGCGTTTGCTCAGGTGTTTGAGGGAACATCAGGCATTGACGCCAAGAAGACAGCCTGCGAGTTTACAGGAGATATCCTGCGTACACCAGTTTCTGAGGATATGCTTGGTATGAGGACCATGGTATAATGTAGCCACACGGCATTATGTTAGGTTGCCAATTCAGTTCGTCTGCTGTCATACAATAAACCAGGGGGCCCAACGCATTTTCAGCATGTGAAATCCCTATAAAAGAGTCCAAATGATTTTCTGACTTTATTCAGATAGAAATATACTTAGAAGTAGGGCTGGGCAATATGACTGAAATGTTATCATGATATCAGTATTTCCTATTGGTCGTTGTCGATAAGTATTGATTTTTCTGGGGGGGGTCGGGGGACGAATTAATGTCATTTTATTTGAATATATAATCCTTAACCTTTAATAAGAGGTCAGCACAACTATGAAAACCATCAACAATAAGTATAGGGGTGTTCACACGGCACACATTTGCATCGGTGCTGCAGCGACGTATTTTGTTGCGATATATCTTACACCGGAGGAAATTTTGTGGAGCGTTCACATGCTTGTGGAGGCTCTCAGTCGTACAGGAAAGTTCCATCGTAGAAAGGGTTCTGTCAGTCGTCATCTGTACCTGTGGACAAAAAACAAAAAAGGACGTTTCGCTTCTCTCACAGAAGCTTCGTCAGTGGTAGACAACTTCTTCACGGAGACTTCAGGGTTGTTATCACACACAGATCCCAGTTCATCAAACCAATTTTAATAACACACAGAGACAACCCAAGGAAATACAAAACATAGTTTCTAAATGCCAGTTTAATGTAATCAGACTCACAAAAAAAAAAAAAAATCCAAACCTACCTGTCCTTATGGGAAAAAGTAATTGCCCCCTGAACTTTATAATGGGTTGTGCCAACTTTGGCGGCGATAACTGAAATCAAGCATTTGCAATAAATAGTGATAAGTCTTTCACATTGCTGTTGAGTAATTTTGGCCCACTCTTCTTCACAGAATTGCTTCACCTCTGTCATATTGGAGTGTTTTCTAGGATGAATTGCCCATTTCAGGTCATACCACAATCTCTCAATTGGATTCAAATCTATACTTTGACTTGGCCACTTCCAAATCTTAATTTTGATTTTTTTTTTTTAACCATTTTGAGGTGGACTTGCTGGTGTGTTTTCCAGTCGCATGATCCAAGTACGCTTGAGTTTGAGGGTACAAACTGATTGTCGGACATTGACCTTCAAGACTTTCTGGTAGACAGCTGAACTCATTGTCCCATCAATCTCAGCAAGTTGTCCTGGTCCTGAAGAAGCAAAGCAGCCATAGACCATCACACTGCCGCCACCATGCTTCACTGTCGGCATGATGTTCTTTTTATCAAATGGTGTTCTATATTTACCCCGGACGTAATGGGCCGCATATCTTCCAAAACGGTAACATTTTGATTCATCAGTCCACAGAATGTTTTTCCAAAAGTCTTTATGATCATCAAGATGTCTTTTGGCAAATGTGAAATGAGCCTTTGTGTTCTTTTTGGACAGCAGTGGTTTTTGCCGGGGATCTCTCCCTTTGATGCCATTTTAGACCAGTGTCTTTCTTATGTTCGAGTCGTGAACACTGACCTGAACTGAGGCCAGCGAGTTATTTGGGTATTGTTCCAGGTCCTTTTGCAACCTCCTGGATGAGTCATCATCGAACTCGGAGTAATTTTAGCCGACCACTCTTTGGAATGTTTGCCCCTGTTCCCAGTTTTATCCATTTGTGGATAATGGCTGTGACCAGTGGTATGCTGAAGCCCCAAAGTCTTGGAAATGGCTTTGGAACCTTTTCCAGGCTGATAGATTTGAATAACTTTTTTTCCAATTTCTTTTTTAATTTCTTTGAATTGTGGCATGTTGCGTTTTGTTTCTTGAGATCTTGTATCCTACTTCACTTTATCTGACAGATTCTATTTATGTGATTTCCTGATTCAACAAATGTGTTGCCTGTGAAATTGAACTCATCTTTCCCCAAACTGTCATTAGTCACAGTTACTTTGTGATTTAATTGGGTGGGGGGCAATTACTCTTTCACATGGGGACTAGTCGTTTGTGATTTTTTTGGTGCTTTAATAGATTAAATTGGCATTTAGAAAATATATTTTGATTTCCTTGGGAAGTCTCTGACATTAAAATTGGTTTGATGAACTGAAACCTTTGGGATAAATATGCAAAGAACGCCGAAATTAAGAAGGGGGCAAATACTATTTCACACCACTGTATGTACAAACTAATCTGATTGCAACTGGTCATTTCATTGAACTAAGTTACACCACATTCTCGTTCTGTGCGACTACGCCACACTTTGTTGGTTTAGCTCCTTCATCTTTGTTGGTTAAGCTACTTCTTTTTCATGTTTGGAGGTGAGTATGTACTGTCGACAACACAGAATGCCGGAGTCGGGGTTTGCATTCTGACTTTTTATCTACCAAACATTTGATCAAAAGCGTTTTGTATTGGTATCGATTAAGTGTCTGTCGTGATACATATTGATATTGAATTATTGCCCTTGCCTAGGCGGGAGCTTGCCTAGGCGGGAGTCTCCTTTCTTTTACTCATTCACTGCCATCGACAGGCATTTTTATCAATGGCATAAAACTGAGAGGGCTGTCACTGATTGAATTAATGCAACGAGAGTCACCGGCACTCCCTTCGTGAGCTGGTAGCACACCATCTACTTAATAGGCACCCCTGCTTCAAATGGTTGTTGATAGCAATTTATTATTCCTAGTGTATTTCACATCTACTTATAAAACTGTTGCAAAATAACAGTCAAAGTTTTAAGTCATTTTCTCTTATTATCCATGATGCTCTAGTCTCAATAAATGTGATTATCTCACAATTATACAAGGTAACACATTTGAATTGCAGTTAAAAAAAAGAAAAGAAAAAGTAAGCCTACTTTTGTTTTTCAAGTATCATTAATCATGTCCATGAAGTCAGAATTTCTATGCTTGTTACTACTTGTTCACTCATAAGAGCCACTCTCAACTTTTTAGTGTCTAACGTGAAATTAGAATATTCCTTATATGCCAATAAATGAGTTAGTTGATCCAACAGTCTCAATTTTCTGTTGGCTGAAAGGAGAATCCCTTCTCTTTCAGGGCGGGTGTTCAACGGCTCAGGCAAACCAATCGACCGTGGACCTAGTGTTCTGGCTGAAGACTATTTGGACATTATGGGTACCTACTCTTTTTATCATGTGTATTTTATTTTTTCCGACGGTCTCAGCGCAATGTTCAAACAGGTAGACAGGCAAGCTGACATGCGTGCAATAGACGTGAGTGTTAGGAACACGTTCAAGTGGTCATGGCTTGAGGAAAAGGACTTGAACTGAGCTTTTTTGTCCGACTACATTAGAAAGGTCGACACACCTGGTAAGTCAGTTAAAATCATGTATGTATATGTGGATGTATATACAGTCATACCTCGGTTTTCGACCATAATCCGTTACAGAAGGCTGTTCGAAAACCGATTTGTTGGAAAACCGAAACCACGCTCTTTAAAAAAAAAAAAAAACTTTATTGAACACGTCTGTTCACAATGGAACGCTACACGAGGAAGCGTCACTTCCTCGTCTACCCGAGGAAGCGTCACTTCCTCGTCTACCCGAGGAAGCGTCATTTCCTCGT